GCTCACCGGGTGGAGCTCGGGCTGTTTTCTTCTGAAGCTCATTCGTGCCACACGCATTGCCGAATGTCTGGTCTGATGCAGACTGAAATCGGCCTTCTCAATCGTGGCCTCTGCCACATGCTCGTCGCCAATTCCCTGCTCCAGAAGCAGGAAGGGGAGGAGTTGCGCGGCTCTCGTCGCAGCTACGTGGCCTGGGAAGGACCAGGCCACAGGGCAGGGGACGAAGCTCACCCACGACCCGCGAACATTCGTGCCGAGCAATCGGCCTTTCTTGCCGTGGCCATCGAGGACGCAAGCGAAGGTGTAGCCATTCTTAAAAGTGGTCACAGAGAAATTGTCCTGGTTCGGACAATTGGATGATGCCTGCGCCGTGGAGAAGAAGCAGCAGCAAGTCACATCAAAGCCACTGCAAACCGTGCGCAAAGAGGTGCTGCAGTACCCATGCCCTGCCTTTTCTCCCTTCCTTAGCAATAGGACACACTCATCAAGGCTCCCGATTGTATCGTGCCACACTGCATCTCCCTCTGCCTGCAACTGAGAACGGACTTCTGAAGCGAGCCAAAACTCTGGCAGGCAATCATCTCCGGTTTCAGACTGCCCGCATCGCCGAAGGCAGCCCAGTCGCGCTCCTCTCCTCCGGTCTGGCCTTTCGTTTGAAGGCCGCGCACAAAGAAGCTAACCTCGCGGCTGGAGTTCATGCAAAGGAGAGAAGCGGGAGCGGCCGGGCCTTCGTGTTGAAGGCCTTGTCGAGGACCTCCTGTGTGATCTCCGCGATCTTCTCCTTCACAGCTTCCTCTCGCAAGCAGGCCCCCCCACTCGAGTTTCCCAAGCCGCTGTACACAACTGGGTCCCGGGTCCCGGGCCACCGGACCCACTACCTCGTCGGGCTGCCCGGTCTTGCCGTGGCACACGGCAGAAGAATCCTCTTTGGAGTCCGGCCTCGGCACCGCTTTCGCTCGCTCCCAGGACAGGAAAAGTCTGCTGAGATCTGCTGAGGCTTCTGCGGCTGCTGCGCACGCCGCCGCAGCAGCACCACGGCCTGCATGGCGCCCAGCGGCTGCGGGCCCGCCGCACTGCAAAGACCTTGCTTGCCTCGCTCTCTGCTCGCGCCGCTGGTGGCGCTGGCGGCTTCTCTCGCCCCCAGACAGCAGGCGTTCCCCATCGCACTAGGCCTTGAGCGAGAGTGTCTGTGACCGACGCATGCCCTCAAGCACCCAACTGCCCGGAGCCTTCGGCGCCTCGGAGCTCTAGTGCAGAGGGCTCCCCTACCATCGCGAGCCGAACCGCGACACATAACTCCCACCGAAAGCTGCCCAACCGGCCCATCTGCTGCAAAGACCTGCAGCGTCCTGCAACTGCGTCCTGCAACTGTCACTCAAGCACTACTTCTTGGTTCTCCAGCGTTGCCACAGGTCAACACGCGTCTTGAAGACTGCGCGAGCTAACAGGGGCCACGTGGCGGCGACAAGAGCCGCACAACTGATCCCTTCGCGGTATGAGTTGTGCGGCCCTTGTCGCCGCTACTTGGCCTCGGAAGAACTAGGCCACAGGGCATGGGGCGAAGCTCAGCCACGACCCGTGCACATTCGTGCCGAGCAAACGGGCCCGATGGCCACGGCCAAAAGGGTCGTTGGTCCTTCTTGCCGTGGCCATCGAGGACGCACGCAAAGGTGTAGCCATTATTGAAAATCTGTCTCTATGGCGCAGGCCTCATCCAATGGTCCGAACCAGGACAATTAAATTGTCCTGGTTCGGACAATTGGATGATGCCTGCGCCATAGAGACAGAAGCAGCAGCAAGTCACATCAGCCTCCCGCCGTGCACGTGCGGGCATATGCCACTGACGGAAGGAAGTGTCACTCCGACACTCGTCGTGGGGGGCCTGTTTGCTCGGCACACTATCTACGCCTTGACCCGACGGGTCAAGGCGTAGATAGTGTACCTTCCAGAGACATGAGAAAAGGGGTGTTCCCCCCCGAGAACTCTTGGCAAGCCTGCGGTGTGGCGATGATTCCACAACACTTGGCGGCGGCGTCGCCCAACGCCCGCGTCACCCCCAGTGCCGGCCCGCGCTGGCCGGCTGCATAAACGCGCGGCACCCGCTCCTCGACCAAACTCGCGGATGACACAGGCAGGCTGTCGCTTCTCATCCATCTCCGGCCGCCACACCACACGGACCTCGCCCCCCCGCTGCCCTCCACGAGAGCCTTCTCCTTTCACCAGGTGGAGTCGCGCCGGCACATCTACAAGGAGCATTCGGACATCATCGGGATGCGGGACTCTGTTATGGGCGAGGGCCTTGGCGCAGCTTGGCTTGCGGTCTGTTGTTGCAAAGACCACCTGATTGTCCTAAGACGCCATGGCACATGTCGGATGCACTCTTGCCAAAAGCCTTTGCACGGAGCTTGACCGGACAAAAGCTGGGGGT